GGGTAGCATGATCGATCACAGGCAAGGCAGGGGAGCGGAGCAAGGCCAGGAGAAAAGAATACAATAAGTAATCAAATGTGGACCACTTATAGCAGTAAGGCCGGCCAAATGAGAAATGCTGATTAACACCCACTCACCGGCTACAAATTACACGGATTCCTCGCCGTCCGCTAGTTGTGATAAGAGAAGAAACCCGTTCTGAACCAGTTTTGAAAAACTCGACGTCTCAGTAGGGTTTGAATTCGAGACAGCAAGGGAAGGCTTTAGTACAGCCAGCGCTCTAGCCACCTGAGCTACGAGGCACCACCGGGAGACGGTTTAACGGTTCTTGTCTTGCTCGTCGTATGATCCACAAATGTCTATAATCCCAAACGTTAGGACCATTTTCGAACTCACAAGCAACGTCTTAAAGCGGACTAGAGGAAACCTATTTACAAGCCCATTAGATGAGACCGCCAAATGCGTTCAAATTGTTCTGCACTGCTAGTGCACGAATACGGCCAATAACGACCTCAGAACAAGAGGAATGATAAATGTTGCTTGCGAACTTTTCCGATCCAGAATTTCCGATTCGGAGAGGTCTGAAATCTTTGTAACAGTCAAGGCGTTTTTGTCCTCATATGATCCTCAGGCCTTACGTCAGCCAGTTAACCGCACACTCGACCGACTTGGCTTGACAGATATTGAGATTCGCATAGTATAAATCGATCCCGGAATTTCAAAGTCCCCTTCCACTGACGTGTCCCGTGCACGGATTTCCCCTCTGCAAGAATCTCCAAAGGTACTGCGGAGAGTCTTGTGAAAGTGTGGTCAATTTTTGAAGAGTTGGTAAAATCAAACAAAGTCTTTCACCTAGGAGTTTGTGACATGCTGGCCAATGAGATGGAACTGCTCCTTTCCTCCGTTAACATTTCTCTGAAAGTGAACCAGCTGTTTCTGGGTAGTAGCTGTCTGCCCACCGACGAGCTGCAGAACTCTTCTTAACTTCACAACGTTTATTTTACGACCCATTAAGACTTTCCAGATATTCTGCGCACTGACCAGTTGGTTTCTATTAGAAACAACGAACTACGTGGACCTGGTAGTCATCTGGTGGATTCTAGACGGATTACTTCGGAAATCCTGTATGGTCAATCAACTTACTGTATCAGATTTGCTGGATTCCAGACGTTGCAGTAGGTTGGGTGGGTAACTTGACTCAAGTGTGGTTGAAATCACGTCTCCCGGTGTGGCCCCATAGCTCAGGTGGCTAGAAGGTTGGCTGTACTGAAGCCTCACCTTGCTGTCATGGGTTCGAGTTCCACCGAGGAGCTGGATTTTTCACACTTGGGTTAATATGAATTATTCAAGATCTGCCAAGTCAAAAAGAGGAAACAACTAGGCTTTGTGACTGCGAGCACTAAAGATCGGTGTACGGGCAGTGTCGGTTCAGGCTGGGATTATGGTCTCTGATGTTTAACTTTAGTTAAGAGGCAATATTATTCAATAAAATGGCCTACCCGAACCGTACTCATCGATTTGTGCTGAAAGACCGTGCTCACAGGGCATGTTGTAGACGCATACTGCTGACGTGCACGTGCATTACTTTATGAAGAGGCAGGCTTGCGCAGCATATACCGTCCTCCCTCGCACACCTTGCTCCGGTGTAATGACATTGTGAGGACTACCGGATGTCGTCGCGGGTGCGGAATATGACAAAGGATAACAGCCAATCTACGCGTCCCACACGGGTCCTCACTCCATGTGCCGGCTCTATGTGCGGAGGTCCTGGATCGCAAATGCGTAAGGGTGTCATAAAGGGCATATCAGCAAGAAGTAATTGGAACCTGATCAAATTGTCCCATCAGTCGACAGTCTTCCAAGCCACGGCCGATAGCGGGCCAGATTAATTAGTGGGGATGGAGTTCTCAGTCAGATCTTCACTCTCGATGCATCAGCTGCCTTTGGGAGCCTGTCAACCACCCGGTGATGGGGTCGGACGCAGTGCCTGGAGCGTAGCGAAGGCATACTCTGTTTGGTCTCACAAAATTCATGATTGGCAGTGCAGTCTCCAGTGGGAGTGCACGCGTGAGTACTGAGGCACGCTATTCCTGGACGGCAACTCAGATGGTGGAGCTAGTGGGTACTCGAATACACACTGAATGGTCCTACCTCCATCGTGTCCTCTCTGGCAGTGAAATTATAACGCACTCCGACTGTCTCTGAATTTGGGATAAACGGATTGCTGGAGTGACCCCTTCTCATAGTGGAACACAGCCTATTGTTTTGTTGTTAGATGAAATGCGTTCAGGATATCAGGCAGTATTATTTCGCATTCAATTTTCGTCCTACTGAATAGGGCGCTTGGTCTCACAGTAGAAGTCTCTCAAATCCGGGTATTCACGACCATTTCGGGTATTCATTACCAGTCAATCAGTCCGTATCCAAAGTCAGGAATCCCTGTCGGTGATGGTTGTCATGGTATAACATGTTTCAAAGAGCGCAGTTTGGTTCAAGTCATTTGTTTTGATCCGCAGACCAAGGCATTTGCTGTGTGCGTCAGCCCAACGCAACAGTAGGGGGCGATTGGGCGGAAGTCACAATTCCCCAGAGTGCAGACGGCATTGTCGTTCTTTGCAGACCGCGTCTTTTGAGAGAACACAATCTAAGTCGTAGTCCAACAATCACATGAGCATGACCAGAGTCATTATCTTAGTCGGTGCCGGTTCTATGCCGCATGCCAGCGCCCAGCCCGCGTTATTTTTCATGCACGAAATTGAGATGATTTTGAGCACAGGGATTATTTTAAAACCGACTTGTCGGGAACATGTGCTTGTAAAGGTCAAGCAGTTTAGCGCCGCTAAACTGCCAACTATTTAATCATCCTCGTAAAGACTTCTCATTGAGTGGTAGCCAAAGATCCACCCTCACAAACGCACAGCAGCAAAACTGGCGCACATCGGGTTATTCGTGAACTCTGGCCGCAAACTCTTAAGACGGGCCTCTTTCCTCCTGTAATCACTATCGGTAGTGAGACTTACGTCAAAATACCTTTTATATTGAAAACAGCCTGTGAAGACGTATAGAAGCAATATGCGGTGCAGTCGGCTTCCATTACACAAGTAAATCCTTAGCTTCATCATTCAGAGCACCGTATCAGTTACAGTTGACCGCGTAGGTCAGGGAGGCAGAGAGCATTCATGGTCACACCTTGGCAGCATACATGAATAAGGATGACGGACAATGGGAAGGATCACTACCCTCGCTCACGCATAGTCACAGACGGTGGCGAAGTGTGCTGCGCGATATCCAAGTCAAAAGTGACATTACCTCAATATCCGGCCGCGGAAATTTTGAAATTATAATATTCCGCTGATCACTCGAATGCGCTTCTCTCAGAGTTTGTCCTACTTTCCACGTATGAGGCAATTTCTTCATTGGTTCCTAGGAGTAAATGGTAAAGAACTTTAAGACTGCATCTTTATGCCTATCTCCGTGTCGCCCTTCTGTCCACTTATCCCCAATTTTATTCACAGAAATGCACATCGGTCTGGTTAAACTGGCAAAGTAAATCCGACGCTGGCAGTTGATTGAACGGCGAAGTCATAAACTAGCTAAAAGCAGCTGTGGCATGGGTTAGACCCCATCTTCCAGACACTTACTGAACTATATATTGAAAGTTAGATCTCGGCTGATGAAAAGAATGAGTTAAGAGTTGTAGCGTTCTGTCCCTCACATCAGCCGCCGTTGTTCTTGTCGGCGTGCGCACTCGCATGTGGCCACTTGCGCTGGTTACACAGACCTGATTCCTCCTGGGAGCCGAACGAATTTATTCACGGAAAGAAGATTTTTTAGTGCACCAATGACAAACGTAACCAACTTGCTAGTGCATTTCTAAAAGTCGACGATGTGCTCCTTCGGATACGGGATTAGATTTGTTGGTGGATGTGCGTAAAAGTAATGCGACTACCTACCTACATCGTTTGAGTAGTCAATATTCACAGACAACACATTATTAAACAGTCATGAGTGCTTGTCTGTGGGTTTTCGGCATGGCTTGTGGGATAAACAGCCGTGGAATCTTTGCGTACATTGTCGAATGTCTTACCTAACAAATCATGTGCAATTGCCTGAAATGTTTACTTGCTGTGGCAAGATTTTAATAATGTCATAATAAGTCATCTTTTGTATTATGGTTGAAAAAGTACCATTTAAAATATTGTTGCCGTCTCGGACAAAATGCCTCTCGAAATAAAGGCACAATAGATGACAGACGGGAGGGACTGGGGTGTTCATTTCTAGCTTATTAGTCGTCATGAGCGAGCCACACTCAAAAATTCAAAGCATAACGAATGAAGATATTCCCTGCTGCAAACAGATAAGTGAACAGCAGAGCAATGTTGGCGGCCGTCCGTTGTTTTGTCCGCGGGTGTTGCTGCCACTTGCAGGCAGGAGGCTGAGGGCCCACAACCCCAGTGTCTTAGCCATTCTCTTATGAAATGAATAACGATAACATGCGCGACAGAAATGTACTGAATCCCTTGCGACTGCTATAATATTACTGTCCACGTTTCAGTAACGTTTGTTTTTGATTTACTTATTGCTTTAAGTCCATTGCACGCGAATGTTGGCATTCGATTTGTCTCCCTCAGATAACTTACGTTGTACCAGTTTTCTATAGCGCAATTATGCACAGACTGACCACTGTACAGTGTATTTAGTGTTGTTAATGTTTTTAACACTTAAAATAATTCGGTAGGTGTTTGTTGTTTCCGCTATCAATTGCTTTATCCACTTTCCCTCTTGTGACAAATAAGAAGTTCAAAGGTTCAATACCTACGTTTCCCTCAAATAAACTGAACTTGAAGAAGGAGACACGATCGCCGGGACAAGAGCTTTATTAGCCTGACGTTTCAGATTCCTACTCGAATCCATCATCAGAGACAAAAGAGCAGAAACGGGTGGTTGTTGCACAAGGGGCAGCGGTATTTATAGGATGCAGTAGCCATGCTACCGCATACCTATGAACATTCACGGCTCCCCCCTTCATTCGGGATTGTCGCACTTGGTGTGATCATTGCTTGACGGCCGACATTCGAGTCGATAATTGCTGCAATTTCATCACGTGCGTTGGATGTTGGCGTGATGATTGCTCGACCATCTGACGCATCGACCCCGGTGTTGGGAAAAGTGTTCACCTCTGCGCTCCCCGCATGGCTTGTTACCCCGCCTAGGCGAAGTTTCAGTACGGAGTATGGAATGGGAAGATCGTTGCACTTGTTGATGGACTGGAGGCCAGTAAACCATGATTCCAGTAGCTCCCGGCTCACTCGTTTGTCACCTCTTGCGAGAATTTTGGCCTCATCGAATTTAAATGTGTGGCCGGATCTCGTCGAATGAGCTGCAACTTGAGAGCTGGCGTCATTTCTGCGCACCGCTGCCGCGTGTTCGGCCATTCTCGTCCGGAGCTGTCTTCCGGTTTCTCCGACGTAGTTGCTTTGTCCGCAACTGCACCAGATCCGATAAACTACTCCAGACGTTTCTAGCCGTGGCAGTGGGTCTTTCGGTTTCATGATCAGACGCCTGATGGTTGCCTCCGGTCTGTATGCCACTCCAACCCCAAGTGGTGCGAGAAGGCGGCCGACAGCTTCCGAAACGTTCTTGACATACGGAAGTGCCCGCCAAGACTTGGTGTCCGTGCGGTTAGGCCTTTCGCCCCTTTTGCGTATGCACCGGTCGACGAAGTTGCGCGGGTAGCCATTGGTTTTGAATACCCGTCGGAGGTATTGTAGTTCAGCAATTTTGTCTTCCGGCTCACTGCAGTGCGTTTCGACACGCCGATAGAGCGTCCTTACACAACTGCGTTTGTGGCTGATTGGGTGGTTACTGTTGAAGTTCAGTACTTGCATCGTATTTGTCGCTTTCCTGAACACTTTGGTCTTTAGTCCACCACAATCCTTGCGGCATACGAGGACATCCAGGAAGGCCAGCTGGTTGTTCTCTTCCTCCTCCATCGTAAATTGAATGTCCGGGAAGACGGCGTTGAGATGTTCTTGGAATGTCAACACCTGATCCCGTTCGATGACGACGAAGGTATCATCCACATACCGGGCCCAGAATTTCGGTCTGTGGTGTTGGAAGACCAGCGACTCTAACCGTTGCAGGACCGCCTGGGCGATGAATCCCGAAACCGGCGAACCCATTGGTGTGCCCTTCACCTGTTCGTAGATTGTCCCGTCGAACGTGAAGTACGTCCTGAGACAGAGCTTCAAGAGCTGAAGGACTTGGGCGTGTCCAAGACGGTTCTCCGTTTCATCGTATTTGCTTTGTACTAGCCGCTCAATTGTCTCGATCGCCAGGTCCTGGGGAATAGAAGTAAATAGGGATGTAACATCAAAAGATACCATGACCTCATTTGGATGGATACTTACCCCTTTAGTTTCTGCAGGAATTGTGCCGACGAAGAGACCGTGGTGTCTGACTCAGCGGTCAGGAAATTGAGACGCCGGAACAGCCACTTAGCCAGTCCGTACGTTGGAGTCCCTTTGAGCGACACGATGGGTCGGAGAGGAGCGCCGTCTTTGTGCACCTTAGGGAGGCCATAGAATCGGGCCAAAGCCGTATCTTGGGGTCTCGCCATGCGTCTGTCGGTCGGTGTTATTGCACCTGAGTTCTCCAAGGCCAACAACGTAGCATTAATTTCGCGTGTCAGCGCCTTTAAGGGGTTCGTTGCACAGGGGACATAAAACTGTCGGTCCTCCAGTAAACCTTTGGCTTTTTGAAGGTAGTCTGTCCTGTCCAGTACAACTGTGGCGCGTCGTTTGTCCGCTGGCACGATGACCAGGTCTTTGTCGGCCTTGAGTTCTCTGAGCGCATCACGTTCGATCTTGGAAAGCACTTCCCGCGGCCTGTGGGCCATTAGGAGAGACGACACTTGGTGTCGGATGAGGTTCTTAGTCTCCTCCGTTGCCTCCGTCTGATAAAGGATTGATTCCACTGCTGCAATCATGTTAACAGTTTTGGCGTCAGCCGTGTTAAATGAAGCTTCGTGCCGTAAAACCTGCATCTGATCATTCGCCAGCTCCTTTGATGACAGGTTGTGCACCCGTTTGTCGTTTCTGGGCGACGTTGGATTGGGCAGCTTTCGAAATTTGTTCTCCAGTGCTGCTTCACGTATCATGCTCTGTTCGCGAGTAAGCCGGGAGCTACTGGAATCATGGTTTACTGGCCTCCAGTCCATCAACAAGTGCAACGATCTTCCCATTCCATACTCCGTACTGAAACTTCGCCTAGGCGGGGTAACAAGCCATGCGGGGAGCGCAGAGGTGAACACTTTTCCCAACACCGGGGTCGATGCGTCAGATGGTCGAGCAATCATCACGCCAACATCCAACGCACGTGATGAAATTGCAGCAATTATCGACTCGAATGTCGGCCGTCAAGCAATGATCACACCAAGTGCGACAATCCCGAATGAAGGGGGGAGCCGTGAATGTTCATAGGTATGCGGTAGCATGGCTACTGCATCCTATAAATACCGCTGCCCCTTGTGCAACAACCACCCGTTTCTGCTCTTTTGTCTCTGATGATGGATTCGAGTAGGAATCTGAAACGTCAGGCTAATAAAGCTCTTGTCCCGGCGATCGTGTCTCACTCTTCAAGACTACTTCCTGGGACTCGGCTCTTCGCTTCTATTGGCAATAAACTGAACTGCACTCGATATCTTCGACCAAGAGAAGGGGACCGTTCACAGTGAGAGGTCTACTTGCGATCTGACTTCTTGAATAACGATATAGGCTACCCAGTTTCCGAGATTAAATAGTCCTGTACATAGGTCTCACTATACGACTCCTTTTGCCCGAAGCGTAGGTCATTGATGTCAACTCTGGGCTTAATCAGGTCCCCGTTTCATCCTTGGTAGTATCGTCCCGCTCTCGTTAACCGCGGCGATGATTGGCAACCTGCGTGGCAGGGGTTGCCACCTCCGACTTTGTGTCCAACCTTCTCAAGGCCGACTGATGCTCATGCATTCGCGTTGGCAGCCATTGGCCTGCCTTTCCAACGGAATTGCATACCCAACAGTGGCGCTGATGACAAGAGACACCGGCAGACTGCTCCGATTTAGGGACGGAGTCTTTTGGTCACATCACTTGTCAGTGGGTTGTTGTGTCGGGCCTGTGAGCAACCCCCATCTCGAATGGCACGAGGGGTCTAACAACGGCCTTGGAGACTCCCTTCATGCTCGGAATGCTCCGCCAGGATTTTGACTGACTACACGCTTCGTCCCGATTCTTTTCTGGCATTTGTCTCCTCTCAACAAACGCTTTCGAGTAGCCGGTGGCTCTGGAGAACTCTCGTAGAAACTTCGTCTTGTCCCGTTTGACGACCAGTGCGCTGCAATGGGTTTTCATCCACGGGTGTAGTATGCAAGAACAGTTTCGTTTGTGTTTCAACGTGTGGTTATTGCTGGAGCTGAGCATTTATAACGTGTTCCTAGGCTTTCTATGGACTGTTGTCGCCGGCTGACCTTCTGGTTGGCGGCAAATGAGAAAATTCAAAAACGTTAGTCTATCTTCCACCTCCTCTCCTATCGTGAAGAGTACATCGAGGATCGGGAGTCCAGTAGCTTTTCGTAGTAGCTAATCTTGTCCTGTTCGATGAGGAAGAGAGTATCATCAGCGTAGCGAACCCAAATTATTCGTTTGTACCACTCAAAAAGCCGTCTTTAGAGATTTTGGAGAAAACCGTCCGCAATGAGCTCTGAGAATGGTGAAGCTACGGGTGTCCTTAATTTGTCATGTGTGATCTATGAGCTCCTGAGCTGTGGGCTAGCCATTGTTCTCGTAGTAAGTTTTCAACATCAAGGCCATCGAGTGTTTCGATCGTGAGGACCCGTGATATAGACATGAAGAGGGATGTGACACAAAAGGCCCCATACTCTCATTCGGTTCGATTGTACCTGCCTTTATTTCATCGAGGAACTGCTCTACGGAATGCACCGTTGTTTTGCGTTCACGGGCGTGAAATTCGGCTTCTGGAATAACCACTTAGCAAGCCCGCATATGGGTGTGTCATGGAATGAGACGACTAGTCGGAGGGCAATCTGGTTTGTGTATTCTGGGAGGCTACAGAGCTACGGATTGTTAGAGGACAAGTTTGTAACTTTGAGCACTCTCAGGCTGACAAGAAAGTAAAGGTCGTCGTTCGAAATGACCAACTTTATCGACGAATCCATTTGCGTGTCTCCCACCCGCTCGCACACTATTCCATCGAACTTAAAGTGTGCATTAGAGTAGAGTCGTTTGGTGCGTCTTAGAAAATTTTCACTTACATATTATTTGCTTTGTTTGAGTAATATGCTGGTCCGAAGGCCTGTAAGCGTCTCTTATGCCAGGACCAGCAAACCATGGCTCTCGCAGCCTGGAATGCGCTCGCCGCTCTCCGACACCTGGTTACCTGCAGGTAGACGTGCTTGCACTCCCGCATAGTACATAAGTCATGAACATTGCTGCCCGGTCATCCTGCCCTTCAGACCTGTCGTGGTGTGGTTGTTGTTTTTGGTTAAAATCATGGTTAGTTCTTGTGTGAATCAGGAGACGTGGAGCGGAGCACCAAGGTGCGCGCTTGGTCGCACCATCTACCTGCGCCGTCCCTCGCCACCGGTCTTCTTGACTCAGTATTGGCACAACACTCAGGTGGGGTGGAGGGGAGAGTGCAGTAGATGTTCTGCAAGTCCACACTCACTATAAACTAATTGACGCGCAAGTCACTGTGCCCGCTTCGCCTTACTGTGAAACACATGCAGGATGCCTTCGGGTGCGACGGTGGAGCTGTCATCGAACCACCTCGCAGAATAGAGTCGGAGGAACATGACATTAGCAGGCACCAGGACATCGTTTAGTCGGTTACATACCGCTTTCGGTTCCTCGAAAAAAATTGTAACAAAGGCGACCGTGACGTTCTATTCAATAGTTGGAATTACGAAACTTCAAGAAAACCACTGCAGTTCGTAACCTGGAGTGTCTTCTAGCGATACGATAAGCCCCCCGCAAGCGCACTCCTTGCGCGTCTTTGGGAAATCATATAATCTGACCAGAGCCATTTCTTAGGCCTCCGTCATTGGCCGGTCTATCTGCAACATTGCATCCGAGTTCTCGTATGCCAGCAATGTTATATCTCCTTCATTCGCCAGCATTTTTGTGAGGTTGGTATCGCGTGGGACACTAAACTGACATTCCTCCGGTAGGCATTTGACCTGAAAGTATTCTCCTGTCCATATTTGCCTGCGGAAGTCTTGGCCTTCAGTCCCCCTGTGCATCTCGTTCGACACCACGTCGCCTGAAGGCCATGCAGAGTGACGACACATAGTGTCGCATGAAGATCTTCGTCTCCACCGCCGTCCCGTCTACCTGAGGACCGAATCCAGAATTGCGAGCGAGTTGACAGGTTTAACATCTAGAGCGCTGAGTGAAGTTTCATGCCGTGACATTGGCATTTACTTCCTATGCCAAACACTTGGTAAGCAGGTTATGTCACAGTTTGACGGCCCCTAAAACGGGCCGAACAGGGTTAGATTATGACACAACAAGCGTTATTGGGGATGCGCGCCCAAAACAGATGTCCCACCTCCGGTCTTATTGACTCTGTCAGGACGCCGGGCTCAATAGGGAGAGGAGAAGAGAGTGCGTTAAGTGCTGTGCAACTCTACTATCTCTGTTGGCTAATTCACACGCAATTTACCGTCCCTGCGCCCCCCGCGCAAGGGGGGGGGAGGGCACACGGTGGACATCGTCAGAAACGACGGTTGAACTTTCGGTTACGGATGGCGTCGAACTGGATATCATACGCGTCCGCCACCCTTGCCTATTATCGTCTTTGATGATGGGTTAGTGTCTGAATTGTGAAGGATAAGTTATTAATTTTCTAGATCGCGCCTATTGTTCGCAGTTTTGTAAACGCAAACAGGTTTGTTTTTCAACCGGACTACTCACCAACGGAACGGCTGAAACGCTGCGAACTCGTTTTGGAGTTAAAATCGAGACTGAAAAGGGGTTAAAATGGCTTTCGAGATAACGCAGTAATGCCCAAAACAGTGACAAATCCAACCGGAAATTCGACTGGTGCAAAACTGAGGTGCTTGTACACAAATGCTCAAAGCCTCATATCGAAACTAAAGGAGTTAAAACTTTGTTTTGCCAAGCTGTCTCCGGATGTTTTAGAAGTTATCGAGACCTGGCTGTCCGAGAATATTAGCAATAGTGAAATAGCCTTGCCTGGATACCAAATTTATCGGGTGATGGTGTAGTCCTGTATGTGAATGAAGGCCTGATAGTGTCGGGAAACACCAAGTTTGCGTGCAGCACGAAAGCTATTTGGTTGACCATCAAAGCTACTGGTTCTCCTTGTCTCGATGTCCTCACTGTCTACCGACCACCTAGGACAGACCAAATCACCTACACTCAACTAGTGGAATGCTTGGAGGAATTTTCTAGTCGACCTAGCATCATGATCATGGGCGACTTCAACGTAACAGGAACAAACTGAACACCCTTCAAGCGTCAGGTCCAAAATCGGCATTCGATTACCGTCTGCTGAACAAAACCTTGAAGACGTCCCTCACACAACATGTAATGTTACGAACGAGAACACGTGAAGGACAAATGGCAAACTGCCTGAATCTGGTTTTTACGAAAACACTGGACAGCATAGACGGGGTCACCTCCATGCCTTCCCTTGGCCGAAGTGACTATGTAGTGCTAATTTGGGATCATTCGTTATGCTCAATTTCGCATACTCCAGAACAAATAGACGCAATGTTTGGCGGGGCGACTTCAATTAGATGAAGGAAGACTTATCCGGTCTCGACTGGAGCTCATTGTTTACGGGTAATGCCAATGACGACTGGGAGTTGTTCAAGAATGTCCTTCTGCAGTTCATCAACAACCACTGCCCACTAAATAGTGTAAGACTGGACAAACGTCCCGGGTGGCTAAATAGCAAAATTAAGAGAGAAATCGACAGGAAGCACAAATTGTGGAGAAGATACTGCGTCACTAGGAAAGTTGAGTATTTCAACACCTACAAGACACAGAGGAACAAATTGAGAAATCTGATTATAAGGCCGCGGTGGGCATTCGAGAAGAAATGGCTACAAAAGGCAACGCAGAAATCTGACTTGGG